CCAGTGCGCAGACCTGCCTGACGGCCCAGGCCCAGCACCGAGCAGTTTCACTGGTAATTTTTTAATCGATCGGAGTTCTTATGGGGAAGGGTTGCAGCCTCAGGTCCTCGCAATTTGTACACTAATCTGAACGCTCGCCAGACAAGTCAAAACCACCTCGGCGGGACTTCCGGTCGCACCACTGCACGGTCCCAAGGGAACAAGGGAGCACAACGTACCCGCCAGGGAAGGGCGGGGTGCCAAGGGCTTGTCCTCCACTGGGGTGCGGAACGGCGGGGACCGCTCCCATGTACTCACGCTCGTCTCACACACACAACCAGAAAGCCGCGCGCAGCTCTCCCGAGAGGGGGTGGGCGGCCCTGAAAAGGGCCTTTGGTTTTGCTGAAGTTAGTGGTTTGGGGGCTCAGCCGCCGAAGCCGTAGAGCGTGCGGCCCTGGCGCTTGAGCGCGTAGACCACGTCCATGGCCGTGACCGTCTTGCGCTTGGCGTGCTCCGTGTAGGTGACGGCGTCGCGGATCACGTTCTCCAGGAAGACCTTGAGCACCCCGCGCGTCTCCTCGTAGATGAGCCCGGAGATGCGCTTGACGCCGCCGCGCCGCGCCAGGCGCCGGATGGCGGGCTTGGTGATGCCCTGGATGTTGTCGCGCAGCACCTTGCGGTGGCGCTTGGCGCCGCCCTTGCCCAGGCCCTTCCCGCCTTTGCCGCGTCCAGACATGGTGACTGAACAGACAAGCACTGAACAGGCTGGGGAACAAACGCAGCCCACTTATATACGCGGAGTGCGGACCTAATTGAAAACAGAAGGCGCGGAGAACTTCCGCCGGATATCGGCCCTCGCGGCCTCGCGCTGGGTGACGTCACCGTGAATGGAGTCCCGCCTCCCGCGGCAAGTCCTGGGTCCCCGGATGAGGATTTGTGGAATTAACTTCTGAAAACTAACGACACTGACCGTTTTCCGTGCAGAAACACGGGAAACGGTAGAGAATTTTATAAGTTTATTGGAGCCAAAATGACGACACGCGAGGGGGCGAGATCTCAAATGCTCAGGAGGACAGTTTTGTAGCTTCTTTCACGCACTTGCCATGCGGGAGGATTCCACCAACGCGGGGAGAAACGAGGTGCAGGGGAGAACTGCACCCTGGAGGGCGGCTGCGCTCTGAGCGGCTGGAAAAGGAGGATCCCTTCCGGGGGCTCGGGGGTGCTAACAGATGCACCAGGACAATGGGCAGGGCTCGCTTAAGGCAAGATAACCTTTCATTCAATTGTACGATTGGGGCTTGGCTCCCCACCAAGACCCACTGTGGCCCGACCACCCTGGGGGTTACTTTCGTTCATGAATTTATTAGAGACCCTCTTTCCTTCCCACATTTCACACGGGTTGGAGGTAGCCGCGCCTGCCCAGTGAGTGAGTTGGCGCCCAGGGCACACATGTTGAGAGGCGTTCGCTGGACTCGCAGGCCGACAGGGCAGGGTCCGGGGGAAACACAGGCCGGGGGAGCCGGACAGGGAAGCCTGAGCAGCCTGATCACGGGAACCAAGAGGCAGAAATAATGGAATGTTTCTGGACTCACGTGGGAGGCCTATGAAAGGAGGGAGGGCCTGTGGCAACGGGTGACCTGACGTGTAGGAGCAGGGAGTTCAGGTCCGTGCTGGGCGAGAACAACGAGGGAACCGATCAGGGGGCGACACAGGTAGACACAGAGCAGCTTGTAGCGCGGATACACCTAGACCGGCTGGCTTCACCGCCAGCCCATTACCTGGCCCCGCTCTGAATCTGCTTGTAAAATGTCCACGGCTTTGCTTAAATCTTCCGGTCCACGGTGCTCAATCTTCGGCATCGCGAGACACGACCCCGGGAGGAAAAGCCTCGGCTCACCGTTCAGGTTTTCACTGTTGTCGGGCAAAGCCTTTCCCACCAACGCCCACCCCCGGCCCCACCTCAGCGCGGGCAGGAGTCTAAAAACTGGCATTTCCCCCGCGCGCCACCCATTCCCCCACACCTCACACACACACCCCAAACCAGGGGAATCCGACCAAAAGGGTGTTCTTCCCGAAGGTCGGGCCACGGAAGCCCGGGTCCCTTCGCGGCGAGGCTATTTTTTTCTTCCCTGTGTATTAAAGCCGGTAATTCTTTCTCATTTCACTATCCAGCCACCCTCGCCTCTGCGCCCAGTCACTCATGTGTGTCAATGTTTACTTCTGTTCCTAGTTTTGTCTGCTCTCTGATTCTGGTAGCGACATTATTCCAAACAGAACTGGCAACTTGTGGAAGCGAAAGTATTGGGATAAATAAATAGGTGCTTTCCCACGAGCTATTTTTAGAAATGAACGTCACTGGCTTTTGAACAGAGTGAAGTAGGTAGATAGAGAAGCCGCGAGGCACGGAGCAGAGTGGCGCAGCGGAAGCGTGCTGGGCCCATAACCCAGAGGTCGATGGATCGAAACCATCCTCTGCTAAGTACTTTTTTTCCCACTTTTAAAATTCTGTAGTTTATGTTCACAATAAAAAACAACAAGAAAAGCCAAGACAAACGAGCCAGTCGGGCCAATATTCGCAGGGCGTGCGATTTAAGGAAAGTAAGGAAATGCCTCGCGTGCAGCTGACATTTCCTTCTAACGAGGTGCTCGAGGTCACCCACGCGCTAACAAGCTCGAAAGGAGCCCCTCTGGGCACAATTTCCATCAATGCCGCGTTACTGGGCCAAACGCCCTCGGGACAGTCTAAAGTCTAAACACCTTGTCCACCGAATGAGCTATTGAAACGCGTGTGTGCGGATGTGTGCATTCAATGTAAATATTGTTAACAGTCAAAATTTTTGTTCTCCGGCCATAGCGGGCTACTGTCATTTATTAATATATGGACGCCTCAAAAAATAGTAGCGGCCCTGGGCCTCTTTAAACCCCTGAGAAACGCTAAGAAACGCATTCTTTTCTTCAAATGGATAGAGACGCCGTGTGAAAGCGCTCTAATCTCACATTATAACAATCACGGGCAATAGGGTAGTGAAGACTGGGCGGGGGGTAAGGGGTGGCTGGGGGAGGGGGAGAAAGCGGGGCGAGGGAACCGGAGATATTTGTAATACTAACAACAACAATAACAACAACAAATTTTTTTTAATGAAAAAAAAATCAGAGAAAGCACCAGAAGAGCATGGGAAGTGCAAGGGCAGGTACCCACGCAGAACGGCGAGAGGGTCACTGGTGCAGATGCGTCCAGATAGTAAGACGCCCTTCTGGGTGCGGTTACCATGACAACTCTCCAGCCAGCTGACCCAAGTATCGAGAGACTGAAAATAGAGAATGTGGGCGAGTTGACAAGGAAGGAACAATGAGTTCGCTTGTTAGAAAATATCCCTTGGTGCAGACAATATGCAGTACTTTGGCCTCGCTTAGGAGCCAAAACTCCAGTTTTCTGCTCAGCGGTGGTAGACTGACTTTCCTTCCCACAGAGTCCCCATATGCCACAAGACTTAAATGATTGTCAGTTTCAACCTTTCCCCAATCCCGACTCCGTGGCCCCAAATGACCCCACATTGTCTAGAATTTCCATCTTTTTAAAGGCGAAAAAGCCCAGGCGACATAGCCTGTGCACCATGACGTGACGTGAAGGACTCAGGACCTGATGCTTTTAAATATTTCAGCAAAGATGAGCTGCCAGCGACCACGTGGCCTAACGGATAAGGCGTCTGACTTCGGATCAGAAGATTGAGGGTTCGAATCCCTTCGTGGTTAACTTTAGCTTCTGCGTTCTCTTTTGCCAATAAACTGCCCTAATCCATAAAAGAGGGTCCGGAGTCAGCAGTTTCACCCATGTCTTTTCATTTTCTTTCTTTCATTCCTTTTTTTTTTTTTTAATTCTGGCTGCTGTGGAGTCTATGTTACTGTTTTTCACTCTTCCCCTCCTGTTCCACTTTCCTTTCTTCTTCTGTTGTATCCGCATCAAACGAATGAGAACAGCCTGCATTCCCACCTCAATTACCAAGCAGAAATATTAAGGTCATTAAAAGAGCCCCGGTGTTTACAGAAGTGTGCATGCAACAGACCCATAGAGAAGGTAGCTGTGCAAAATACAAAAACACACCTTTCTGTGCCTACATAACCGATTTTAATAATAATTTATAGGATGAAGAGAAGGTAATTTCCAACTGCTGACTTCCTGGTGAAACATGGTCTTTGGTTTTGTATCTAAATATTGGTTCAAACGTGGAGGCCATGGGGGCTCTTGCAGGGGGACAGCATGCCAATAAACTGCCCTAATCCATAAAAGAGGGTCAGGAGTCAGCAGTTTCACCCATGTCTTTTCACTTTCTTTCTTTTTTTTTTTTTTTAATTCTGGCTGCTGTGGAGTCTATGTTACTGTTTTTCACTCTTCCCCTCCTGTTCCACCTTCCTTTCTTCTTCTGTTGTATCCGCATCAAACCGGATGAGAACAGCCTGCATTCCAACCTCAATTACAGAGCAGAATTATTAAGGTCATTAAAAGAGCCCAGGTGTTTACAGAAGTGTGCATGCAACAGACCCATAGAGAAGGTAGCTGCGCAAAATACAAAAACACACATTTCTGTGCCTACATAACCGATTTTAATAATAATTTATAGGATGAAGAGAAGGTAATTTCCAACTGCTGACTTCCTGGTGAGGCATGGTCTTTGGTTTTGTATCTAAATATTGGTTCAAACGTGGAGGCCATGGGGGCTCTTGCCGGGTGAAAGCAGTGAATAATAATTAAAACAAGGTGGAAAACAGCCACAACAAGGTAGCTATGGGCCCTTTCTTTCCCAGCCTGTTTCTTGGAGCTCCTGTCTGACTGGCTTCCACTACTCCTCTGTGAAGTCCAGATTGTACTGAGAGAGCAAAGAGGCTTCCCTCGTTTGTACGTAATGTATCCATTCCTCTTTCCTTCCCTCTCTGTTTAGGGAGAAAAACAAAGCCTTTGGGTTTGAGAAAGGTGATGGGCTGAGGCAGAATTGCCCCGGATCTACCTTCTAACTTTGGGACAAGAGATGGCCACGTTTAAAACACCCTTTAACGTGAATTAAAAGGAGTGACACATCCCGCAGGTCTTTTATGCTTGGATGAAGTTTCAACCCCTCCCCCTGCCACCACACACACACAACAGGCCTTTAAGTGTGTGTTTTACAACT